CTTCTGTGTAGACAAGGTCTCAGTCCTTAAATCCAAGTGAAGCCAGGAGGGATATGCCTGAAAAGAATGTGAGTGAGGATTTCACAATTTTGGCCCCAAATGTCCAATATGCTGTAATGATGCTAATGGTTTTGATGATTGCTAGAAGAGAAACCTTCTCAGAAAACATGGCAGCATCACCTGACAAATACAGAGTTTGACAGTTATAGAAAGCCAGAAAGAAAGAGGCTGTGTTCATATACTTCACATTGACGGCCCTTTGAAAAAACCAGCGAAATTACCTGTCAAAAGAAAAAGTCATTAAGAGAGTTCAAGTTGCAGATATACTGCACTTAAACACTAGAGAACATCAAAAGATGTCATAGTTAATGAAAACTTCCAGACTTTCAAATACTCACTTTTTAGGTTAAGGTTTAACACTAAACTTTACCTTGTATCCTTATGTGATATATTTAAATGTATCCTCCTACAGCTTTGTTGGACAGTGGAGCAATTACAGGAGATGGGAGATTATTATAACCTGTATGTATTTATAAGCTTTTCTGTGGCACTCAGATACTATGGTTTGGGTGCCAATATAAGAGCCTGGATGGATAGATAGATAAATAGCATTTGACCAGTTTAGCTCCTCTGTGGGCAATAGGGAAGTGTTACTATCTTTAGTTTCAGATAGAACTACTCAGGCACAGAGAGGTCAAGGGCTACATTTTCAAAAGTACTGGTTAATATTTTGGGTCTCAGATGTTGGGAGTTCAATGTAAGACACCTAGGCCAAGATTTTCTGAAACTGGGTGCTCATATTGTATTTAAAAATCCATATTTGGCTGGGATTGTCAAAGGAGCCCACAACTCAGTGAGAGCTGGGCACTAACTCCCTTTAGACTGCTTTGAAAATTCTAGCCTCAAACATATAAATCGATGATTTCCAGAGGTGCTGAGCATCTACAGCTCCTACTGGACTCAGGGGGACATGCTGGGCTTTCTGCACTTTTGAAAAATCAGCCCAATTATTTAGATATGTTTAAATATGCATTTAGGAGCCTAATTTGAGGCACTCAGTTTTGGAGATCTTGGCCGAATTCCAGATTCTTCCTCAAGGTTTCTGAAACAAGGTCAGTGTTTCCACAGAGCCGCACTTTAGAGGTGTGTGTTTGGCTGCGTGGCCAAGGAACCTTCTTGGGCTGCTGGGACAGTGAGGGTCTCCTGCTGGCCAGGCACTGGAAGATCCAGATGATTCCACTGTTGGGTCTACATAGTCAACTGCTTTGCAAGTCTATGGATGAGTCCCTTGCAAAGGTGGCTGACCCTAGTGTACAGATCTGTAATGCATATTGGGACATGGTGGTGTTCCCATCTCACTGGGCAAAGATTCCCTGCTGTGGTGAATGTTGCCAGAAAATATATGAAATGCACACATTCCTCTGCACTGGGAGACAGGGCTCATCTATGAACCTCTGTGGTTCATGGTCTTTGGAAGCCTCATGAGTCAAGGGTCCCCATATATCTTCCACAGCTGAGGGCCACAGACGAGCTCTCAAATCCTCTCTTCCTCGGATCCGAGGTAACCAATGCAGATTCTCACCCAGAATATGGCTACCATGTATTAGCTGGACGGGGGAGAGGCAGGGCTGGGTCAGGAAGGTGCATGTGTAATAGAGTGACCCTGCATTGCAGCTGGTAGGCACAATAAAAACTGCAGCCCTTAGGCCCATGTCTGATTCTCACAGGCATAGATTTGTTTTGTTTAGTTGTATGGTGCACAAACATCTCCACAGTTTCAGAGCTGCAGGTCTTGATCTGACCCAGTCCCTGCGATTGTGACATATTATACCCTTTTATTCACACCCTAGACACTATTGTACTAATTTTTGTACAAAGTATGCCTTGTGTGGTATTATCTGAAAACTCATAATTTGTTGGTTATTATTGTCCTGGTAAAATATGTGTAGTGACAGTGTATGTGATGTTATAGGACACCCCTGTATGGTGTTATTAACACATGTTCCCAACCCCGCAGCCCTGCCCAAACTGAGGTTGTCAAACAGGTCTGTCCTACACAAATGACTGGGTGATCTGCTCAATTTTCATTTAAGCAGTAAATAGAGTATTCAAGCAGGAAGGGAAACAAGGGAAGCTCAAACACGTGAGGACAAGCAGTGGGAACATCCTTCCACACAGACTTTTTGTCTACTTGTCCCCAGCTGGAAATATTTTTTCAAGAGGGAGACTGAAACTATAAAAGGAGGGAAAAACACCCCAAGGCACCCTCCCTCTCTCCCCTTGCCCATTGCATTCACTGCACTTGAAGTGATAAAGGAAGCATTCGTTGGGCTCTGGAAGAGGAGTCCTGACCTCTAGGATTTGGTCAGTAAGACTGCTGAAAGCATTTGGTGAGAAACTGCTTCTATTTTATATAGTTTGTTTAAATTAGGTATTAGTAAATATCTTCTCTTTATTTTTCTTGTGACCATCTCTGACCCTTATGCCTTATTACTTGGACTCACTTAAAATCTCTCTCTTTGTAGTTAATAAACTTGTTTTATTGTTTTATCTAATCCAGTGTATTTAATTGTAAGTGTCTAGGAAACTCCATTTGGGGTGACAGGATATGGGGCTTATTATTCTTTTTAGAGAAATAATGGACTTAGTATAACTTGTATTGTCCAGGAGAGGGCTGGGCAGAAAAGGACATACATTTATTGGAGAAAATCTGAGACTTGGGGTGTGTTGGGGTCACCTTGGAGTATAACCGAGGCTGGGGAGAGCCAGAGTGTAACCCATGCATGGCTGGCAGGCTGCAATTACACACAGACACTCAGGGTGTGGTTTGCCTGCTGGAAGGCTGATTGTGAGTGGCCCAGGTGGGAGCTACTTCAGCAAGGCATTGTAAGGCACCCCAGGTTGCACGGCAGTGTTGACACAGCTGCTTATTAGTCGTGACTGTACCCTGGTATGTCACCTTGATATTGGGCTTTCTCTTGTTGACAACTTCAAACTTGTACTCTGTGACTGCCATCTCCCTCTGAAAGGGGGCACTCCTGTGTTTGTATCAAAGACACAGAGCTTCCCAGCACAGGCCCTGTCATACACAACAGACTTCTTGATAGCTGTTACTTACTTTATTACTGAGATGGAGCTAGGCCTTACAGGAAATTGAATCGATTATTGGTAGTCTTTTGGGAAAAGTCTTTGGCACAGGTCATCCTGGCCAAAAGCTAAGCTGATAAGAGTTTGTACTTAGTACTATCATTTGGCTTCTGTCCCTACATTTAACCACATCAAGGCCCCTTTCACCAGGCAGTAGCAGTTTCAGTGATGTGTTCTCAAGAATGTGTCCGCATCAAAGAAGCGTAGGGCAGCTGGACGGAGTTCAGTGCACATCTTTACAAACCCCTTGTGTCTGGAGAGTGTAGCAGGACAAAGTTCAATGGGACTGCTCAGTATGAGTAGGGGGGAGCAGGAGCAAGTCCGAGGGAGAGGACTTACGGTTTGTTGTCAAATTTTGTTACATTTCCAGACTTTCAAATTTTTCTTTTTGGCTTTTTAAAATACAGTATGTTTTATGTTTCAGTGAGGTATATCGACATCCTTAGTTCTGTGCTACAGAACATTTTCATCCAGTACCTAGGCATAGTATATAAAGTTAATTACACATTTCAGGGAGTCTCTCACAATGAAAATCAGTTACAGGAAAAAAAGGCAGTATTTTCAATTGGTAATCAATAAACAGACATATAGTTACATGACTTCCACTGTGAAATGAAAACATTTACCATCTCAAGAAAGCAGAAATTCAAAAATTGTGAAATTATAATCCAGTGGTGTCACCGGCGTACCAGTATCCGTTTATATCAGAAAAGCTGTTTAGGAACAGGCACAGAGCATTGGAGGGGGGTGAATGGGCATGTTGGAGATATTTACAATAAACAGGTAGGCAACCTCTTTACCCAGTAGATTATAAAGGGTAAAAGGCTTCCAGGAGAAGACAGAGTGATGTACCCAGCACCATAGGAAATCAGGCCTAATTCAGCAAACTAGCCCTATGCATCAAAGCATTTAAAGCATATGTTTTAAGTTTAAGCAGGTAGCAACTACTGTAACTGGTTAAAGTCAAGCACATGCTCAACTGCTGTGCTGAACCAAGGAGAGGGATTTCTCTTTTAGCAGATCTGTATTGCAATTTCTGTGGTGGAAATACCCAAATGCACTCACCTGAGTAATCCAACTGAAGCTGATGAGACTACGTGTGTACAAGCTACTCAACATCAGTAAGAGTCTGGAATTGGACCCTGCTGAAGGATGGTAGCAGAACACAACACATGGTAGAAAACAGCAGCCAGCAGCTGATACTAGCCAGAGTGAAAATGGATCCATAGTATGCGACAAAGAGACTGACACTCCAAGGGACATAGAAATGTATTAGGGATAAGTCCATAGTATAGACCACCACCAGGTCCATGAAATAGATCAGATTACAGCCCAGATACAGGAGGTAAGCATCCCTCCCTCACTTACATGAATGTTCCCAATCATTTCATGAGCTTTTTGACACTGGTTTTTGGTTGATATTTAGTCTGAAGTACCTGCTCCAGGGCAGACAGACAGTGAGTTACCTGCTCTAACTGCAGATTGGGGAGACAATCGGAGGTTCAGAGATAGCCAAGCAGGCTTCCCCCATCTCTGGTATAAAGTAGGTGGAATACCGGGTGGCTCTGTAAGGACGAGGGAGCGTGTTGTGATGAGTAATCAGAGGCAGCACAGCAGAGAACTCAGTGAGGAAACAGCCACATGTACCATCACTCGCTTGGGGTAAAAGTGACTTTTCCCCTGCAGCTCTGCCTCCATGGAAAGTGACAGGGAACAGCGTTGCAGACCAGAGATGTCAGTGCAGCAAGTGCAATGGGAAAGGAAGTTGAATTACTGCCTTGTCATTATGCCCCTTGCAGCTCACAGGCTAATGAGATACAAAAAAAAAAAAAATGAAATGAGCTGACACCTACTTAATCTCTTCAGAGAAGAATATTTACTTGGGTTAGTCTTGACTGCAGCCTCGTAGGATGGCGGGAGATGGGAGAGGTTCTGGAAGGACCTGGAAAAGGAGAGATCATAGGGCTCCGTGGCGGAAGTGAGGATATTGTTCATCCGTGGTTTTTCTGCAAGAAAGAATAAAAACATGTCCACGCAATGCACCAGTGGACAGGGAAGAGAGAGGTGAGAAATTCCCATCCACCTGCCAGGTAGCAGAGCCACTCCCCTACATCTGAACCAAATCTGACAGCTAGGCACTACACTATAATTCAAACTGACACCAGCCAAGCCATGGGAAATGAAACCCAAGACTTTGCTGCCTTTAGTCTCCACTGCAACTATTAACAAATGCAAACTGCAGTGAAGAAGTGCTGCCCACAGAGCACAGACTCCTTTGTTAAGTCAATGGTAAAGATAGTTATAGACAGAGAATATTATACTGTTGCCTATTCCCCAGGGGCTCCAATATCTCATCTCTGAGGACAAAGTTAGCACAGATGCCATTAACATTTATGTATAAGCGACCAAACCCACCATGTGGGGAAGATGCTTTTCTGCATTCTGCACTCCAGTGTCTTGTGTTTACTGTAGAATACAACACACCCTCCCTTTAAATCAGTCACATGATTTCAAACACTGCCCCTTTGGGGGGTGGGGGCTCTTCAATTCTCCTCTCCCTCTGCACTAGATGGAGTCTACTATTAATAAGTGCCATTCAGACTGGCTACTAGCCCTAAGAATTCACTTCCTGAGTTCTGGTATCATCCCATTCTCTCTTTGGGAGGAGATTATTGTCTTAAGGGTTGGGTGGAGGGGAAGCAGTGACAGTTCTTGAAGCCTCCTGTGTTGTCGGATGCCAATCTGACTCCTATCGTGACAGGGAACCTACAGAACAGAGACTGTAAAGGTTTTAAGGCCCATCCACAACTGAACTTTCATCCTGGAATCCTGGCAAAAGGTGATGTCCCAAGCCAAAATATTTCTAGGAAGGGTCAGATGCATGTTGGGACCTTTTGTTTTGAGAACTGGGTTTTTGCTGATGTTCCTGAGCTGCCTCAAGGTTGCTCTGTTGAAGGGTATTTCTGAAGAGCAACTGGGAGCATGCTTCCCAGCCTGGGTAGACAGACACATTAGCGCTGCTCAAGCTAGTGTACTAAAAACAGCAATGTGGCCACAGCAGCATGGGCATCAGCTTGGCCTAGCTGTCCAAATACATGTCCGTGTGTCCCCTGGGTATGGACATGGGCAGTTAGCCAAAGCCACTGCCCATGCCACCACAACCAGATTGCTATTTCTAGTGTGCTGGCTTGAGCAGAGCTAGTGTGTGTCAGTCACCTGCACAGGGAAGCACACTCCCAGCTGCAGTGTGGATGTACCTGCAGAGTTCAAATGGCTCAGGTGAAAGGAGACTCCTGGCAGACTCTGGAGGCATTGCTGGGGCCAGCCTGGGTGAGGATTTCCCACAAACAGGAGTGTCTCTCAGGGAGATGGGGGCGGCATTTGTTTTCTTGCTGCTTTCAGTGACTGACCTTTCTGTGTCATGGTCTAAAGCACATGGCTGAACTTCAGACCATCATGTTTCTCAAACCTAACAACATATCCTAGATGGTCTTCGAGCTGAGCTCCTGCCTCTACTGGACCTGTCAACAGGGCACAGGGGAACTCTATCCCATCAGACAACCCAGGAGAATTGAGCCTTGTCTCTTGACCTAACTGTCCACCCCTCAGGAGTGAGTGGAGTGCTCTGGAGAAAGGGGCCATGTGCTCGGGCTTGAACTGGCAGGAATGGCCACGGCCCCTGTCACCTGTTGTGCATGGGTCTCAGAGACTGCATGTCTATAGAATCATAGGACAGGAAGGGACCTCTAGTCCAGTTCCCTGCACTCATGGCAGGACTAAGCATGGGCAGTAGATGAACCACCCATTCAGGAAAGCTAGCCCACCAGCCCCGCCCCTTCCACCTGAAGCTCCACCCCCTGAGTCCCTCCTCCACAGTCTCTCCTCCCCCCACAGCTAGAGCCCTAAGCCGCCCACGGTCCAAGCTGTGCCGGCTGGCCCACCCCACGTATGCTGGCCCAGGCCAGCCTGAGCCACCCCAGCCATGCCTTCCTGGGCCACACTGGATGCCCCAACACCAGCCAGCTGCCCTGCCCCTTGGCCAGTCTGAGCTGCCCCGACTGGCCTGACCCCCGGGCCGGCCTGAGCACCGGCCTGAGCCACCCCTGGCTGCCCCAGCCCCTGGCTGATCCCCAAGCTCCAGGCCACAGCTGGAGCTGAGCCCCCTCCGGCTTCAGGATGTGGGGGGCAGAGCATGGGCGGGGCCACAGCCTGGGCCTTAGCCTTCCCTGGCCTATGATACTCGCTGCCCCTGGGACTAAGTATTATCTAGACCATTCCTCGCAGGTGTTTGAGGCCTCACTGGGTTCAGTTGTGCTGCTGCATATGGAGGAAGTTAGTGCCCAGTGAGCGAGGGTCACAGGGTCTGGCTTTCGGTCAGGAAACCACAACACTCCTTCCTGCTGGCTAATCCGTCTGTGTTTTTATAGAACACCAGTTATGATGGCAGCCCCCGCCCCAGCATCCTGCTTCCTGGTGACCCTTCCTACAGGGAACAGAGCTCAATATTGCTTCCTCTGTCGGCAGGTGGCTCTGCTCCCAGCATTGCTCAGAGGCGATGAGTCGCTGAGGGAATCACTGACCCCAAATATCATGCCAAGCACAACCCCCAGCTACCATGGACAGGCACGGAGATGCTCTCTTTGACATCAGTGAGAGCTGGAGTTAGGGGCTACTGCAGCTCTGTGGCTGACCCTGGGCGAGTCACTGCACCTCTTGGTGCTGAATTTTCCCCAGCTGATAAATGGGGATCATGACACCCACCTTTGTAAAGTGCTTTGAAATCCTCAGCTGCACTGCACTATGGAAGTGCTAGTTCTCACATCGCGTAATGATGACAATTAGTATTGTAACTGAAAAAGGCTCAGCCTACAGTTGCTGTCAGTAATATCGTTTTTCCACGCTTGGCATGATTTTGTTTCTAATTGTGGGCTCTCCTTGTCACTCCAGAAATAGGACTTGGTTTAAAGCCAGTCTTGTGTAAGGAAACTTTTGTGATGCAGGCTGCCGAGAGTGATTGTGATAGGAAGGCAGTGTGATGAGGCTCTGGGAACGAGGGTCCAGGCCGATTGTTGTGAACTCCCTAAAGGAGGTGCTGTTGTGCACACCGGCCTGTGTATTACTGCCCTCCCAGGTTGTAGGAGACTTGAAATTTCCACCAGTTGTCCATTCTCTCCAGTGTCAGCTCCCAGGTTTTGTGTGTCCCTTGTTAACATATGGAAACCCTAGGTGTCCTGCTCTCTGGCCTTGGGGTGTAAAGTGTTTGTTTAGGGTTACAGTGTGACAATATAGATAGCACTGAGGTGTTTCCCCAAGGGCCATGTATAGCCTGCCTGCCAAACTATTTCTGCCCAAAGCTCTGATCCTACGAGCTCCTATGCATGGCAGAGCCCTGCACCCACAATGAGCCCTAACGGGACTTCCCATTGGTGCAGGGTCCGTTTGGGCATGTGAGCTTGCAGAATCAGGCCTGCATTCATAAAGAGATGTATGGATTTCTGCAGCAATTTCTGGTGCAGGAATGAGGGGCAGCCTCCAGCAGAGTTCAGGCTCCTCACTGCATATTGCTTTTGTTATTTGTCACAGAGGGAGGCCATGGGTCAGCATCTTGAAACAGAGCCCTCTGCACGCTTGCTAGCCCTGAGCATATCTCTAGACATGATGACTGGTGCATTTGGATTTTATAATGCTACTGGAGAAAAGAGGCCAAGCCACTGGGTCCAGGCAGTCTGCGGAGTTTGCTTGGTATTGAAAGCACATCCCTTTGCCGAAAGTCAGGTGGAGTGACTGAAGCCGGAGTTTAAAATAGTCTTTCATCAGCCCAGCCAAAGGCCTGTTGAGTGATGACGTTGATATCTCTCCAGTGTGCGGGTGTTAAAGTAGGCAGAGATCAGGCTATTCAAAATAGCAGTGATCACAACTGCTGGAAGCCTAGTGTCAGACTGCGGGAGGGACAGATGGGGTCCTGGCCGAGTGTGCGGTAGGCCTGGGTCATGTGACCTGGTCTGAATGGATTCAGGGAGCAGCTGGGTCTGACAGGTATGGCAAGAGTGCAAAATTCTGATGCCACTCGGAGACGCCAGCCAGTCTGCTCCGAGAGCTGAGCCCCTTCATCCCCGCATCAGCCTCATGCAGCAAAAGGGCCTGGCTCGGCCCGGGCTGCTTGCGCTGCCTGAGGAGCACCAAAAAGGCACCACTGTCTGGGCTTTGCTTTTGTCTCAGGATTCCCAGCACACTAGGTGAGAGCATCCGAGGATGGTGTGGGGGCGGCCAGACTCCCAGTCCTGACTCAGCCACAGTCCTTCCTCGGAGCTCTCACACCCGAAGCACAGCGGGTGGCACAGCTCTCTGCAGCTCCCCCCCGTCATAAATATAAAGGGAAGGGTAACCACCTTTCTATATACAGTGCTATCAAATCCCTCCTGGCCAGAGGCAACATCCTATTACCTGTAAAGGGTTAAGAAGCTCAACCAACCTGGCTGGCACCTGACCCAAAGGACCAATAAGGGGACAAGATACTTTCAAATCTTGCTGAGGGCGGGGGGTGGAAAGGTTTTGTTTGTGCTCTTTGTTTACATGGTTGTTCTCTCTTGGGACTGAGAGAGGCCAGACAGAAATCCATCTTCTCCAACCCATCCTAATCCAAGTCTCCAATATTGCAACCAGTATAGATAAGCCAGGCAAGGCGGAATAGATTATCTTTTGTTTTATGTGAATTTTCCCTGTGTTAAGAGGGAGTTTTATTCCTGTTTTCTGTAACTTTAAGGTTTTGCCCAGAGGGGGATCCTCTGTGTTTTGAATCTGAATACCCTGTAAAGTATTTTCCATCCTGATTTTACAGAGATGATTTTTACCTTTCTTTTTTCTCTTTTTTTAATAAAATCCTTCTTTTAAGAACCTGACTGATTTTTCCATTGTTCCAAGATCCAGGGGTTTGGGTCTTTGATGATTTTGTAACAAATTGGTGAGGATGTTATTCTCAAACCTCCCCAGGAAAGGGGGTGTGTAG